TTCTTTCAAATTTTCTCCATGCTTCGAGGGAGAGCTTTGAACACAAAAAGAATCCACTGTAAAGGAACACAAAAAGTTCAATGGGTTCTATAGGACATTTAAACGCAGTTTAGCATGCATATAGAAAGGAAGGCTTTTTTTCCAACGGAAACAATGCAGTTTAATAAATTATTTAATAAATTATAAACGAAATGGTGACGTTACACTTTGTGAAAATATTTCTCTCCTTTTACGCTCAACGGCTCAAGTTCGTTTTTAACTGAACTAGCTGATTTTAATTAATTACATGCCTTTAGGTGCTTATTAAGAAATGTTGGGTAACTTCGAACACAAAAGAATCCATTGTAAAGGAACACAAAAAGTTCTATAAGTAATCTTAATTCAGTTTAGCATGTAAATGAAAATGAGGAATTAGCCCCGTACGGAAACAATGCAGTTTAATTAATTTTATGTTTTTAAAGGAAAAGAAATGGTGGCGTTACATTTTTTGAAAATATTTCTCTCCTTTCACACTCCACGACCCAAATTCATTTCTAAGGGAACAAGCTAATTTGTAATGCACGCCCCAATACTTAGTGTTAATTACTTTTATTGCAGAACTGAATGACCTTAAGGTCCTTAGTAGGAAAAAATGAGGGATTACTCTTAACGTATTTATTTATCACCTTTCAGTGGACAATGAAGGAAAAAAAAAGATTTACCTTTTAAGCTCTGAAAAACCTCTTTCCTATATTAACGAGTCAAGATCTGCTTTCTGACAGCCTAACGTAAAATTTGGAGAAACAGGGAGAAAAAGTTGAATCAAGACCTGTTTCTCTTCGAGTGCGAGCTCTCCAAGTGCGAGACGAACCACAGGAGTTTACCAGGCACTTGTAAATTGAAAAACAACCACAAAATAGGCAAACCTCTGTTCAGGAACTTTGCTTTTCATTTTGCCCTTTTTTTTTGCTGGAATAAACCTACATTTAGGCAGAAAAGGTGATGTGCGTTTGCACTGTTTACAGTTCATTGAGTTCTCGTCACCTTTACCGAAACTTTAGAAATACATGTAAAACATCGCCTATGAACAAGAAGTAAAGACGCCTAAATGTCAATCTTTACTGATGTGTGTAAGTTGAATTGGGGCAGTTACTGAGTTAATTCAAGCGATTACGATTATTTGACATGAAAAACAATTTCAAAAGATATATAGGTCTCAGGTCCCTATCCAGAAATAAATATAACTAAGGCAATCTCCTTGGCTGAAATCTCTCTCTGGGTATGTAGGGTTTTTATGATGACTATAACTAGCAAAAAACGAAGATTACTGAGGCAAGCGCCTCGGTTTGCTTGTTACTAGCTACGGCCAGGCGACATCCCGAAAAAAAAAATTGAAAACCTTGCTATGCCACGTGTAATATGTTTTTTTCTTATTTATTGAGATATTTGTCGTTTATTCGTCGTCAAGTGGGAGGCTCATAACATTTTGCACAAGCCATGTGTTTTCCTTCACCTTTCTGAGGGTCTGGAGAAGAGTGCTAGAAGTTATTGTTAAATTTCGGCGATTTCTCAGTATTCAGTTAAATATCTTGCATCAATCGCAGTGATCACAATTTAGTTCTCTGTGTGATGTTAAGAAAAAACACGACGACAACTAGAATTGAGAAAAATGTCCTTGTCCCTACTGTTTTGGTCTTCAATTTTGTGACACCTTAGATGATCTACTGACATGCTCAAAAGCTCGCTTTCTTTTTGACTAAAACGTTGTAGATATCAACTAATATTGCTTTCCGTTTGTAAACAAACTGAAGAGGAGAAACGCCCTGATAAAAATTTAACATCTTTGTTG